ATTTATCTTTCCAACTTTACATGTATTTTATCACTTATCTTGTAATTCATTCTTATCACTTGTAACAAACTGAGCTACACATGCTCTATATGTATTATAAATACACACGGCTACAGATCATAATGTCTAAGCCTTATTTTCCATAATATCGTTCAATCCTCAGCTCTTCTTATCATAGCACTTAGCCCTTCCGCCACCAGAATGAAGAGGTATGGTGATAGTGGATCACCCTGTCGTAACCCCCTTCCCGGGGTTATCTGTCCCAGAAAGTCTCTGTCAAACTGCACATAGTAACTGACCGTTCTAATTCACTCCATCACCAAGCCAATCCATTTTGGATTAAATCCCATTCGAGCCATAATTTTCACCAAGAAACTTCAGCTGACTCTATCATAGGCCTTACTCATGTCCAACTTTAGAGCCATAAAACCATCTTTCCCGTTTTGTTTTCGTTTCAAATAATGTTGTGTTTCAAACGCAGCCATAATATTATCCACAACTAATCGCCCAGGAATGAAGGCACTTTGATTTTCTCCAACCAAGAATCTCAATAATCCTTTCATTCTACTGGCAAGAACTTTCGAAAAGATTTTATAGGCCACATTGCATTATGCAATCGGCCTCCAGTCCCCCATCGCTTCCGGCTTCTCCTTCTTAGGAATGAGAACTATATTAGTAACATTAAGTTCAGCCGCAATCTTGCCTGATTGGAAAATCTCCGAGCATAACCTGGTGATTTCTGGCCCAACTATATCCCAATACTTCTGAAAAGAGTTGGATTCATTCCGTCCGCCCCTGGCGCCTTCTCTAGATACATGTCAAACACAGCCGCCTTAACCTCCTCCGTCGTAATTGCTCGCAAAAGCCGTCGGTTATGATCCTCGCTCAGCCGCGGCATCTGACAGAACTCTCCCTCTGTAAAATTATCTTCTTGTGCTCTAAACAGATCTGAAAAATAGGATCTCACTATGTCTTCCGCAACTCCCCGATCAGTAACCCATGCCCCATCATCACCCTTTAATCTGGTCAGCTTGTTCTTCCTCCTCCTTGATTTAATCGCATTATGGAAAAATCGGGAATTAATATCCTCCTCCTTCAGCCAAAATTCTTTGGCTCTCTGCTTCCAATGCTGGTTTTTATTTCTCCATTAGACTATTCAAAACAGTCTGAACCCGAAGGAATTCCTCCGTGCTAACTCTATCATCAAGTCCTCTTAGCCATGTTAAACGCCTTTTGCATGCTATAATTTGATATCTGAACCCTTTCGATCTACATCCATCCCACCGCAGTAATTCTTTTCCACAAAATAAGATCCTCTCGCTAACAGTCAAGTTCACCCCTTCATTCCAACTATTTGCCACAATTGTCCTGCATTCCTCTTCTTTTAGCTAGTTATTTTCAAATCGGAATTTCTTTGGACCTCTTCCATGAATTGTTGGACTAACCTTCATGAATAGCACCATATGATCACTTATAGGAGCTTCTACCGTCGTCGCTCTTGCTGCCATGAAATTGTTCCACCATTGATCATTGACTAGGATCCGATCAAGCTTCTCCTCCACCCAATTCGATATCCCCTTCCCCATTTCCCAAGTCCACTAATATCCATCAAACGGAAAATCCCTCAACCCACACGCCAATATTGTTTCTCGGAAACCCCGAATCCTCCATGGCGGGTGTAGAACTCTTCCCTTCTTTCAGTTTCATATAGAATATCATTCATGTCTACTATCACAAGCCAGGGCATAGTATTGTTTTCGGCCAGATTTCACAGCATCTCCCACGCCGCCCTCCGCCTCACCGTCTCTGGGAATAGAGCTGTCAAAATGGGCCGAAACCCGCGGACTGGCCTGTTTAAACCCATTCATTGGTGAGTTGGGGTTAAGAATTTCTGACCCATTTAGTTCGCGGGTTTCGCGGGTCAACCCACACGGGTTGCGGGTTTAAGTGGGTTGGCCCACTGGGTTGCGGGTTGGCCCGCGGACCAAAATACAAAAATATAGTTTTGAATTTTATTACCATAAATATTGTTCTTTTACTACCAATATTATTATTATTATTACAATTAAAAATTACAACTATGGCAAAACAATATTTATTTCTATAATAAATATTCAAATAAAATGTTGAAACGTATATTTTAAGTGAAGTTCGATACAATATTTAACAATTAGTAGTCATTATTTACAAATAATCAATCAAATGGTTTATGTAGATCTTTATTACTCCGTATTATACCATGAGTATATTTGTCGCATACCCTCTTATAGTTTTCAAATTCTCGTATAACTAGTATTTAATGTTTTTTTAATTAAACTTACAAGCATTGAATTTTTAGTATTTTGATTTCTAATATTTCCTTTGTTACTACTCCCTCCGTCCCAAAATGAGAGTCTTGTTTCTTTTGGGCACAAAAATTAAGAAAGTGTGGTAGAAAGATTAAAGAACCTTACTTTATTGTACTGTTCTTTTTTTTACTTTTACTGTTCATTAAAAAGGAGGGGTATAAATGATAATCCACTTTTAGTTCTTTACCAAAAGGGAAACAAGACCATCATTTTGGGACATCCCAAAAAGGAAATACAGGACCATCATTTTGGGACGGAGGGAGTACTGACTAATACTCCCTCTGTCCCAATATAAAAGGCACATTTCGTTTTCGGGACTTTTTAAGCGTTTTAACCGTTCACATACAAACTGCCCTTTATGCCCTTCGAATGGAGGGGGGGTAATTTTAAAGTTACCATGTACTGTTCCTAACAGAACACAACACCTTTTCAGACATTGAGGATGACACAGTAACACATGCAACCCAGTATAAAGGCATGTTTAACTTTGTACATGTGGATGAGAAATGGTTTTACATGACAGAGGCATCACAGAGGTGCTACCTACATCCGGATGAGGTTGAGCCTCATAGGACATGTCAGTCTAAAAGATTCATCACAAAAGTCATGTTCCTGTGTGCAGTTGCCAGACCAATTATACATGCAAATGGTGAAGTGATATTTGATGGAAAGATCGGAATATTCCCATTTACTACAACGGAACCAGCTAAGAGAACCAGTAAAAATAGGTCAGCTGGCACAGTTGAGGAGAAAGTTATTGTTTCAATCACAAAGGATGTTTACAAGGAATGCCTTCTCAGTTGTGTATTGCCTGTTATCAAAACTAAGTGGCCTACTAGTGTGAGCAAACATATTTACATACAACAGGACAATGCAAGACCCCATATTAATCCAAGTGATACTGACTTCACAAAAGAAGCCACCTCAGATGGATTTAACATTGAACTAATATGTCAGCATTCTAATAGCCCTGATCTAAATGTCTTGAATCTAGGGTTTTTTAGAGCTATTCAGTCACTGCAACAGAGCAGACCCAAAAACTCAGTTCATGATCTCAGACTGGGGGTGGAAAATGCATATGCTGAGTTCAATCCTATTTCATTGAATAGTGTTTGGTTGACCCTACAGTTGTGTATGAATGAAATTCTGAAAGTTAGGGGATGCAATAACTACAAGGTGCCACATGTAGGAAAAAATGCATTGCAAGCTCAAGGTATGCTACCAATCTCTTTCAAGGCAGACTCCACTACATTGTTGGAGGTGACTCAAGAATTAGGAGAATGAACTTGGATTGAGCAGTGTGGAAGTGTTTTTTGGGGACTGAACAAGTAAAGTATTCACATTTTTTTTTACTTTTTTGGAATACTACACATGTTCAGTCTTAGAAAAAATGGGTACATATCATTTAAAGACATGGATAGCTTTTTTGAACTTATTGACACATTAGTGCATCAGTTAAGCATGAAGCCTTTTAGGGTTTTGAACATGGATAATGTTCAGTTTTTTAGTTTTTGGAATACAACACATGTTCAGGGATAGTTTTTTTGGATATATGACTAGACAAAGTAGGGAACAAAGTAGGGAACAATGAAACTTATATTGTTGTATTTGGACTGTAAACAATGCTTGCCACAACCCCCCCCCCCCCCCCCCCATGGTCTCCTAAGGTTTCCCATGATGACTCATTAGGGGTTCAACCACATAAGAATCACAAACATCACACACCAATTACAGCCATCACAAACACATTAACATTCACTTCATCATTGAAGGCATCGGCATTATAAACTTCAATGGTCTCCTAGGGTTTCCCCTGGTGACTCAGTACCACACATACCAACTCCATTAACATTACACTCACCATTAAAGTATTAAACTCATACTGGCATTGAAATGTCTTTTATATAGGGACAGAGTGACTACTAAATCTCACATATCCATCACATATGGTCTCTTAGGGTTTCCTGTGACACCTCGAAAAATTTAATAAAATAAAATAAATAAATTTTATTAGTTAGCAAAATATTACGAAAGTGATTTTTAATAATCAAGTGAATCAGAAAAAAATCTTAACATTGGTAACATTTTTAATCAGATAAAAATGTTTCAATAAAAAAAAATGACATTTTTATAATAATATTGTTGACTTGACATATATAATAAAAGTGATATCTGAATTTGAAGATACGAGTTAATAATATGTGTACATAAAATACCACACAAAGATAAAGATGTTATACATGCATTGACTTTTCAAGTCTAAATACACTACGTATTAGTATATCTGCAGCTCACCATGGTAATAACAATAATACACATTCATGCATCCTTAGCTTGCATAATTCAACACCCACATGGGATACCATGTATGATGCATCTCTCACCACTAAAACAGTACAATCACAATAATTTTCTTATCTCCATATTACTCTCGCACACCTAACCTCCGAATAAGAACACAAGTACGAGTTCCACCCACATGTATATATCGAAGCCAAGCTACTCATCGCCAACCTACACTCACATGCGTTGTTCATAGCTAGAACCCCCAATCTCATAGTATAAATAACAGACCAGACCTTCAGCCCTCTTCATCCCCAAACCTGCGGCATATATATATATACGCACACACATATATATACATATATGCGAATTTACGACCCTTCGTTTTAGCCAGAACGAAACCTAGAAAACACTCTAAAACCCTTCCACTTTGAGAGGGGAATCCAGCGGAGAAAGAATCGTAGAAAACGGTCGTGAAACGAGGGGGAAACACTCCGCCGGAGTCTTGCCGGGCTGCTCTTCACGTCGGAAACCAGAGGAAGGAGAGCTGCCGTTGACCTCCAGTCCATTACTGACCTTCGCCGTCGCAGAAGGAGTCCACCGTCGCCGCCGATCCAATCGTCGGTCCTCAGAAAGGTAAGTCATCGTCCTCCGCGTTTTCTTCGTTGCTCCCAGCATGCGTTAATGAAGATGATGCACTGTAGCAGTGTTTTAATATCACTAGTTTGGGCTACTAAGTGCTATTGGGCTGGGTCGCGAATTTGGGCCAGTTCGGCCCAATTTTAATAAAAATTAAAAATAAAATAGTAAATCAAATAAATAAAATCTGGAAAAATATAAATTAATTAACTAGTATAGATATGCATATTCGGCCCAACCAGAATTGCAAAATAAGATTTTTTTTAGCTATTTTTAATTGATTTAATTGTAATTGGACCAATTTGTACACATTTAGAAAATAATTAGCTAAATGACGAAAATGATTATGAAACAAATATTGGAGTAAACTAGATTAAGTATATGACTAATTAGGACACTTATGATCATTTATAAGTAATAAAAAATTATGATTAGCATATTTACTTATAATTAAACCGGTTAATAGATATATGACATTAAATGAATAAATAAGGGAAATAATTCTAAAATAAATATCTGGACAACCTAGGTCAAATATAAACCCAAAATATAGTTATGGACGGTTATAAATTTATAGAGTCGCTTCTTAAGCTATTTAATTTAATTGGGCCATATAAAACTAGTTAAGTAATTAAATAAAAGAATTTGAATGATAATGGTGAAATAAATAAATCACTAAGATTGGAAATAATATTCTGGACAAAAAAATGAGGTTTGGAATAAAATAAGGAAAAGAAAATAAATTTTGGATAGCTAACGTAAATGAATAACTATATTTGGATTTAATAAATAAATTACTAAATTAGTGGACTAATTGAATTAGTGTGATTAAATTAATAATTATTATCCCTGATTATTATTGATTCGTGTTGAGGAAAAATATTAATTGTGATCAAGCTTGTCTGATGTCTTGTTTATTTATCTAGAATAGATTAACGTTTTAATGTATTTATGATGTAATAAATCCAACTAAGGGTTTAAGGCCCAAAAAGGCCTAGGCCCAGAGTTCTAGGTTACCATTCTCGGTACCTGTACCTGCGCCTATAAATACGCGTACTTGTGGTACAGGACTAAAAGGATAATCAGCAATACAGTACTATTTTATTCTCTAAAAGGTTTTCATACTTCTCGATAGTATAGCGTAAGGCTCTATTGCTCTTAGATTGATCATATCATTATCTAGACCTTACCTATATTGTTATAGATCGTATTTTGCTGTTCAATACATCCTTATTTTGGGACCAACAATTGGTATCAGAGCCGATCGAGTACTGATCTGCATCGAAGAAAAACTGCGAAGAATGCTCTGTTTTATGTTTTCGATATTTTATTGAATCTGTCTTTGTAAATCTGTTTTTGGACAATTCTGTGTAAAAGTTATACTGTTGGATTCGTCTTTCAAAAACGAACCAGCAGTATATCTTCATTTTCGATATCTGTAAAGTTTGGGATTTGAAGTTTTCGATATAGGCATATCGAAAAACAGGTTCTCGGTACTTCAGCAGGTTTTTCGAAGATTGATTCATCCAGGAAGCTTCTCGACATCGGAAACAATTCAGCAGCAATCTTCGTTTTCAAAATTTTGAAAATTTTTAAGTACAGGATTTCGACAGAATGATCTCGATACTGAGTTCTCGAACTTAGTTTTCGATACTAGCTTCTCGCACTAGTACTTTTCGATATTTATACTTTGAATATCTGATTTTGATATTACAGGTTCTCGACTTCAGTTCTCGATAATCAGTATATCGAAAAGTTTTGTTCTCGAAATTGAACTTCTCGATATCTGACTTCTCGATATCTCAGTTTTCGAACCTAGAATATCGAAAACCAAGTTTTTGAAGTCCTAATATCGAAAACTTACTTCTCGATAAACTTTCTCGAATTCCCTGTTCTCGAATATCTTTCTCGAGGTTAAACTTCTCGATATTCCATACTTAGAAATAATTATTTTCTAAAACAGATCAATCACTCGAACGGTCACTTTCTCAAGAACAGCAGATATGGACGCTCTTTCAATGGGTAACGATAGCAGACCCCCTATCCTCAGGAGAGATGAGTACGTTATGTGGAAGAACAGATTTCTCAACTTCCTCGAGAGCAAAGACAATTCCTCAGCTATGCTGGAATCACTGACAGAGGGTCCGGCTCAATTATGGATGGTTCTAGGAGGAGACGATGAAAATGAGCCCCCTGTCGACCAAGTGAAAGTTCCAAAACCAGTAGAGCTGTATACTGAAGAGGACAAATTGAGAGTCAAAGCTGATTTAATGGCAAAAACGTACCTGCTCCAAGCAATTCCGAATGATATTTATATACTGATTGACAGTATGGATTCTGCTAAGGAGATGTGGGATGAAATCAGAAAGCTGATGGAAGGAACCAACCTAGGTTTGAAAACCAAGAAGGCAAGCACTCTCACTGCCTATGATTCCTTCAAGGCTAGACCCGGTGAACCTCTGCATGAGACTTACAACAGATTTGTTAAGCTGGTAAATGATCTGAGAAAGATCAATGTGAACAAAGCTAACATGGAGCTGGACATACGGTTTCTATCAAGTCTGAACCCTGAATGGAAGAGGACAGTGAAGAATGTGAGACAGAATCTGGATCTTGATGAAGTTGATCTCTACACAATTCATGACCATCTACAGCAATTTGTGAATGACACTGCAGAGCCTGAAGAAAACAGAATTAATGATCCACTTGCTCTTGTGCTGGAAACTCAAACGAGAAGTACAGCTAAGATGCAAAGGAAGAAGAAAGCTGCAGTCGTGTCTGAAGATGAAGAAAGCGATGAAGAAGTAGACGTGGAATCGGAGCTGGTAGAGCTGCAGAAGAAAATGGCGCTCTTAACCAAGCAATTTAATAAGAAGTTTGTGAAGAAGAGTACTTCATCCAACAAGCTGAGAACTTCCTCATCCAACTACAAGCCGAAACAGCTTGAGCAAAATTCCTCAGAAAGAGCTGTTGCAGCAGAAGAAGCTCCCAAGTGCTTTAATTGCGGAAAGGCTGGACATCTGATCAAAGATTGTCGCCTACCAAGAAGGAGGGACTTCAATTATTACAAGCAGAAGATGCTCATGAACAAGCAGAAGATGTTCATGGCAAAGCAAGAAGATGAAAATGCTGCAATGCTCGCTGAGAAGGACCATTGGATGGAGGATGATTCTTCAGATGAGGAAGAAGAAAAATTAGCTTTGATGGCAATCGTGGAGAAGGATGAAAGAAAGGGTGATGCTGCGATCCCCAGAGATGATGAAGGTGAAAGCTCAAATAGCAATGTAAGTCCTTCTAAAAACTCTTGTTCTTGCAAATGCAAAAATCATTCTTTAATAGAAAAGGACAAGATTATTAAGGAGCTTGAGACGAGACTTGATAACAATCACAAAGTTTTACTTAAGAACTTGCATAAAAATGCCTGTCTTACTTTGAAACTTGATGAGTCAACGAAAAAGGTAGAAAAATTGACCTTAGAAAAGGATAAGTTGGCACTTAGGACAACTGAATTGACTAGTGAACTGCGTAACACCAAGACAGAGCTTAATCAAACAATTGAACTAAAAAGAGTCTTACATGAGCAAAGAAGTGCGCTTTATAGGAAAATCAAAGAGCTTGAGGATTTGTTAGCTAAGCGTGATCAAACTGAACAAACAATTTTCTTGAATCAACCCAAGGATACCCGTTTCTATAATTCCAAAGAAGGTCTTGGTCTATCGAATCCCTGTAACCTGAAAAAGGTCAAATGTAAACAACTATATGATGTTAATTACATGGGATTCGGTCTAACCAAACTTATGCACTTTACGGCTGCAAAAGAAACGGAGGAACTTGAGGCTGAGAAAAGAACAAACACAACAAAAGCTCAAATCTCTTTTGATTATTCTGCTTTGAACAAAAGTTATACTACAGCTGAACCTGTCTTTTCTTCTGATGAATGCGTGAGTCTTTATCCTTCTGAAAAGAAAGCTGTGTCTGATTTGGAACCTCCCTCAAACTCACATTCCGAGGTTGATGAACCATACATTCCTCCTCTCATTAAGAAATTTGAAAATCTACACATTTCTCTTGAAAATCAAAGAAAGAGTTTTGAAGAAGAAAGGAAGAGTTTTGAGAGTGAGCGGGAAAAATTATTGAGTGAACTTACTCTTTTGAAAGAACAGTCTCAATCAAACACAGCCTCCCAATCTACAAGCAGTACACACTCAACAATTAATCATAACCACAAAATTCCCAACATTTTTGAAAATCCATCTGCTCACTCCAAGTCTCCTTCGGTTACAGGAACCAAAGTGAGTCGGAGATGGGAGAAGAAAGAGGAGTGGAGGAAGAAACGAAGAGAGGTTGCTGAAGGAAAGAAGAAAATATTTTTGGGAAATAAGAAGTCCTGTTCTAGCACAATGTTTTATTCTAAAAATAATTGTAACTCTTGCTCTGTTAAGCATGTTTGTACTCTTAATTCAGTCTTGAGTCCCAAGCTGAATGTTTTTAAGATTAATGACAAACCTTGTTCATCATCTGATTATGTCAATGATTGTGCTGGCAGTTTTACAAGTTCTGATTTTGATAGTGATGTGAATAATGTGAAATGGAGAAGGAAGAGTGAACATAAGACTGAAAGGAAATCTGAGAATGAATTTGTTGAGGGTTATTATGACTTTTTGCATTTAAAATACCCCCTCCGAATTCATTCAAAGAAACATCTGAAAAGACTCTCCAAAGAAGAAATTTTTAAGCCATATCTTAACCAACATCCATTCACTCACTATGATCATGTCTCATCTCCTCCTTCAATTAAGCAGAAATGGTTACCCAAATCTGAATCTGAAAAAGAAAAAGCTCAAACCTTGACTGAGAAAGCTGTTGACCTTGGATCACAGCTCAAAGAAAAATTTAAAAAGATGTTTTTGATTAATAAGGAAGGACCCATCCTACGGTGGGTACCTAAGAAAACTTAATTGTTTTGCAGAATGGTCATGTGTGGCACTTGGATTCTGGCTGCTCAACCCACATGACCGGAATAAAACACCTGCTGAGCAACTACACTTCATGCTACGGAGGAAATGTGAGATTCGGCAACAATGCATCGTCTCCTATTCTTGGATACGGAGATGTCATCTGTCCGAGTGTCACCATAAGGGCTGTCTCCTACGTGAAAGGACTGAAGCACAATTTGTTAAACATTGGACAGTTTTGTGATAGCGGGATGGAAGTGAAGTTCAAATCTAGACAATGCTGTGTGATAGACAGCTATGGAAACACATTATTAACGTGTAACAGGACATCAAACCTGTACACTATTGATCTAAAAAGTGTTCAATCAAATTCTTCCATCTGCCTGTTGTCCAAAGCTTCCTCTGAGCAAAACAGCCTATGGCACAGACGCCTATCTCATCTGAACTTCAAACAACTGATCTTTCTGTCCAAGAAGAAACTTGTGAAAGGGCTGCCTACTCTGAAGACTTCCGCTGACAACCACTGTGGTGCCTGCAAATTAGGCAAAATGGCAAGGAGCTCTCACAAGTCAAAACAAATCCCATCCTCCTCTCAAGCATTACAACTGATACACATGGATCTGTGTGGACCAATGAGAGTACAAAGTATCAATGGACGGAAATACACTTTAGTCATTGTGGATGATTACTCTCGATACACATGGACCAAATTCTTGAGGACAAAAGATGAAGCAACAAAAACCATCATAACCTTCATCAGGACAATTCAAAATTTCCTTCAGAAGAGTGTTCAAGTGGTGAGAACAGATAATGGAACCGAGTTCAAAAATCAGTGCCTTACTGATTTCTTTGAATCTCAGGGTATTACTCAACAGTTCTCTGCGGCAAAAACTCCTCAACAGAACGGAGTAGTTGAAAGAAAGAACAGAACTCTTGTTGAAGCAGCACGCACTATGCTCATACAATCCAAACTTCCTCACTTCATGTGGGCAGAAGCCATCAACACTGCGTGCTTCACTCAAAATCGAACCACTATTCACAGGCGCTTCAACAAGACCCCCTATGAAATTCTTTTCAACAGAACTCCTGACATATCATTTTTCAGAGTTTTTGGCTGCAAGTGTTTTGTTCTGAATGATAGAAGTGAAAGAAGCAAGCTCGATCCAAAGGCCAAAGAAGGTGTGTTTATTGGCTACTCAACGCAATCCAAAGCTTATAGAATCTACTTGAGGGATCGACGAACTGTCATAGAGAGTGTACATGTTGCATTTTATGAAATGGCAGATTTTGCATCTGAACACTTCTTGACAGAACCCACTCTTTCTGAACATCAAAATTCTGATGGAGCTGAAGCAACTGAGCGAACATCTACTGAACGTGCAATTCTTGATTCTCTCTTTGAACACTTCTATGAGAATCCACGTAACACAAATCCACAGCAAAGGACTGCACCAACAACAGAACCTACAGCAAAGATGCCACTTTTGCTTGATCTTACTGAAAATGAAGAAGATGCTTTCTCTCAATCCGATCATGAAGATCCAGAAGATCATCACACAGAAGCAACACAAGCAACATCATCAACACAAATCTCACCAGAAACACGAACAACAACTCCTGCTGAATCAGTGCACTCTACACCTCAACAAACATCATCTAATATCTTTGAGGACCCGGATCACCCCATCATAACTCCAATCCCTCTAACACATGAGCGGAAGTGGACGAAGGCACATCCTGTTGAACAAATAATTGGAGATCCGAGTCGTGGAGTATGCACCAGAACTGCAACAGCCAATGAATGTCTCTTCTCCTGCTTTATCAGTCAGTCTGAACCAACAAAAGTTGCTGACGCATTAACTGATCCTGATTGGGTGATTGCTATGCAAGATGAGCTCAATCAATTCAACAGAATGAACGTATGGACACTTGTGCCTAAACCACAGAAGAAAACCATTATTGGCACAAAGTGTGCCAATAATGGCGTTCTCCATGAGAACGCCTATGTCCCCCAACAATAAGCTTGACTCGGACTCCACAGGGAAACCAGTTGACGCTACTCATTATCGGGCTATCATTGGATCGCTGTTATATCTTACCTCAAGCAGACCTGACATTATGTTCTCAACATGTTTATGTGCGCGTTTTCAAGCTAATCCCAAAGAATCCCACCTCTCTGCTGTGAAAAGAATCTTGAGATACCTAAAAGGCACAGTCAATCTGGGTCTGTGGTATCCCAAGAACTCAGGTTTTGACCTAATTGGATATATTGATGCTGACTTTGCTGGTTGTCGGATGGATCGGAAGAGCACGTCGGGAAGTGCTCAATTCTTAGGAGAGAAGCTAGTCTGCTGGTCCTCCAAGAAGCAGAACTGCGTGTCAACTTCTACAGCCGAGGCAGAATACGTTGCGGCTGCTAGTTGTTGTTCACAAATTCTATGGATGAGGACATAACTCAGAGACTATGGCTTCCTATTCAACCATATTCCCATCTACAGTGACTCCCAAAGTGCAATCGCCATAACCAGCAACCCCGTTCATCACTCGCGCACCAAGCACATCGACCTGCGGTATCACTTCATCAAGGACCATGTGGAGAAGGGAGATGTTGATTTATACTTTGTTAGCACCGAGCTTCAACTGGCTGACATATTTACTAAGGCATTGGATGAAAAGAGATTCCAGTTCTTAGTATCTAAGTTAGGCATGTTGAATCTCGATCCTATGTAGTTGTGTTATCTCCATGGTCTAAATAAAATGTGTGTGTGTGTGTGGTTTGCGTTGCATGTGTTGAGGGGGAGAAAAGGGAGAAAATAAGAGAGAGAGGAATACTTTGAGGGGGAGAAAAGAAGAAAATCAGAAAAAGAGTGTGTGTAGAAAATAAAAAAAAAGTGTGTGTGTTTTTCATTTTTTTTCATGCACAATTTGAGGGGGAGTTTTGTTTATCTACGAGAGTGCAAGTGCTTTTGGGCCCCATACATTTTAAAACAAAAGGGAAACTGGGCCCAACTCAAACCTCTGGGCCCAATCAAATTTTCTCGCAAGGCCCAAAATCAACTTCCCGCATATTTAAAGGACTTTGAGAACCCAAAATCATATCTTTTCGCATTCTCAGTTCTCGAAGTCCAGAGCAAAAAGTTTTCGCAATCTTCTCGACCCCATTCTTCTTTGAACTCTTCTCGAATCAATCAAGAGGTAGTAATGTGGCTTTCGAATATACTTCAAAATGTTTTTCGCAAACAAGTGAAAGTTCTCGAATCCAAACTTGAAAGAAATTTCTCGAATTGGAGAATCGAGAACTTTATTTTTCTCGAACCCAGAAACTTGAATACGAAAAGTTTTAAAATATGGATATTTTCATTATGTATTGTGTGTTCTTGCAGGCGGTTCTCGACATCTATCTGAGTGAAAACTCGAGAAATACAATTTCTCGATGATTAGAACTCGAGATTAACTTCTCGATATTTCAAAATTCGAAGTTCGGTTCTCGATATTAAACCTCGAAAAGGTCTTTTCGATGTTTAATACCGAGAACCTACTTCTCGAAGGTTGAAATACCGAGAAGAAGTTCTCGATATTCAACATCGAGAAAGAGTTCTCGCAGCTTAAGTCTCGAGAAGGACTTTTCGATACTTTCACCTCGAGAACTAAGTTCTCGATGTTTAAGTATCGAGAAGAGGTTCTCGGTATTTAAACCTCGAGAACCTACTTCTCGATATTCAAACCTCGAAAAGTTGGTTCTCGTGGTTTACACTCAGATACTTTCTCGAGGTCCCACCTGTATACACCTGATCTGAAAAATTTGCAAAAAAAAAAAACAAAACAAAAATAAAACTTTCATTTGAACAATGTGCTGACCCAATGTCTTCAGCTAATCATGTCAGGAACAGCCAAGAATACACAATCAAGCAATGAACTGTACCCAAAAGAGAACTGGGTCCCACTTTATGACAACAACTTTCAATTGGACCTGAAGCTCTTCAAATGTCAGGACCCAGTCGTTCTCTCCATTCTACAGAAGCACTACCTCTGGTTTGCATTCAATGAGGCCAAACCGGTACCAGAAGTATACCTGCAGCAATTCTGGGGCTGCATGCGAACTGAGAGTAAGAAGGATCGGTCAAAGATCATGACCAAACTAGCTGACAAGAGAGTGGTGCTAACACCTTCTACAATCCGGGAGACTCTGAAGCTCCCAATGCACCAAAGTTACGCACCACTCCCCTCAAACGAAGAGCTGATAAAGGGGATGAAAGCTCTTGGTTACGACAGCCCACTGCCCCTACTGTCAAATTTCACAATCTCCAACCTGCCTCATCCGTGGAAGAGTCTGTTCGGCCTAGTCAACAAGTGTCTTTCTCCGAAGCACGCCGGACATGACAAGTGCAACAAGCAAATCCTTCAAA